GAAAGGGTGAATAGGGAGGCAAGTATATAATATTATATGTTGTATTATTGATAACATCTTTTACTACACCTGACTTATGATAACGGACATTATCTATTACAAAAAACTTATTGTTAGGGATTATTTCACAAAGATCACAAATGAAATTTACAAAAATATTTGCATTTACTGAACCCAATATGGATTGATGTTTTAAAACATCATCTTTACCAATAGCAGTGATTACTAAAATATTTTTTCCTTTGTTATTAACAAATTTTTGAATTGCAGGTTGTCCACAAATTGCATGGCCTCTTGATTTTCTTAAATAAAGATTGAATCCAGTTTTATCAATATAAACTATATCATCAAATATATCAATATTTCAATTTGCAATATCTTTAATATACTCTTCTTTTTTAAGAATTGTATTATTTGTATTATGGTCCTCAGGTACAAGCCTTAATCTTTTTAGAGTAAATCTAATATCACTAACATAACAAGCTACTGTACGATCACTCACCTATAATAATAAAAATAGATTAATATTAATATTAATATTAACTAAAAAGTAATAAAAAAGAAAGAGATTATATATACATGAATATCAGGAAATTGGCTGGTTAGTTTTTGATTTAAGTTAGCGATTGAAATCCATGGTTCATCATCAATTGCTTTACTCAAAAAATTTTAATGCTCTTCAGTTATTATAGAATGGTTAGCACCACCTTTTGGTTTAGGTTTAATTTGATTTTTTTCATCAAAATTTTTAATAATACTTTGTATAGTTGATGAAGCCAAACAAAGTTCTGCTGCAACTTGTTGAATTGGCTTACAAAGATTATTAACATCATTTATAATTTGATGCATTTGAGCAATAGAAATATTTTGATATTTGGGCTTTTTAGATTTTTTAGACTTTTTTTGTTTAGGCATTTTTGTAAAAGTTTTAATGAAAATAGAAAAGTAAATTTTCAAATTTATTTAAATAGAAAAATGTCAATTAATATGATATAAGCTATTTGTAATAGATGAATTTCATATATTTAATTAATTTATTTGTTTAATAAAAATATAGATATATTTA